AATTTTTAAAAAGCCACGAAAGTGTAAGAATTAAAGAGAACATGAAAGCACGTAGCAAATTCAGGAACGCATAGCTTTTGTTTTGTTTGATTCCTTGTATGTTTTGCAAGTGTTTTTGCCAGTGTTTTCTTTTTCTTGGCCTAAGGACTTCACAACTAATGTTTCGTTCATTTTTCCACAGTTTCACAACAACCATCCCAAACAACTGGAAATCTGCCGCATGACTCGTCCAGTGTCGGTAAGAACTTTCCTTACAATCTCATACAGAAATATTGATAGACTTATATATTTTATTCGAAGAAAAGTGAAACGCTTGAATCAAGAAAGAGTTCTTTATCTTGGGCGTAATTTTTTCAAAGTTTAGACCATGTGTCATTCTCTTGAGAATAAGATTCTTTGTTTGAATTGTATCTATATTCATGTGTCTTCTCATGCGCAACCGTTAAACAAAGAAATGTTACTCTAGGGAATGAAGCATGGTCCGAAATGAGAAAACATTACGTCCAAACTAAAAGGGTTTATTTAGTATACAATTTAATTTTTTTTTTTTTTTTTTTCAAACTAAAAGGGTTTATTTAGTATACAATTTAATTTTTTTTTTTTGCGTGTTTGAAGAAACGTGCCCCTCAAATTCAGCAACTTTGGAAGAGCACAGAAGTAACGAAGCCTGCAAGGCTGCCAAGACTCGATATTGTTATAAAAACAATTGCAAACGGTAAGTTTTGGGTTTTTTGAGTTAAAGGTGATTTGCAAAGCCATGTTTACTTGGATTAGTGGTTTTTAGTGCGCATGCTCAAAGCGTCATTTGCATTCAAACACGTGATTTCTGCACTGTTCATGATTAAACCGTTATTTGCACGTAGATATTTGCAATCTCATTTCGAGAGCCGYTTTTGCTTGCTGCATATGCACATAGGGCGCTGGTATAGTGATTGAGATTTTTTAATTGAGCGAGCTATCCAGAATTTGAGATACACTTATTTCAATAAAGTTAGTCACCTGAAAAGCTATAAAGCTGAGGCCGACAAGGATTATGGGTAGATACATTTTACACGTTCAACCGCTTGATATTTGTTCATGGACTTGCGAATTTTTTACCGGTTACAGTCTCACCTCTTCTTAGCATCATCGAGTTGCAGTTTGTATTAATATGTATTTATATGTATTTGTATATATRTGATTTTTTTGATATGAAAAGTTTCCCATGATGCTCAGTGATCTCAGCTTTCTAGGTTTTTGGTGACTAACTTTATTGAAATAAGTTTATATCATTGATCAATGTCAATACTAGTTTTGGGATRCCTGTGTTAGTTCGTGACGGTAACTTATTGTTTTTCAGGTGTTGCGCTTTTGGTAACTCCTGCAATCCTTATCCGGGACTTTTAGTTTACCGAGATACATGCAGAGACAGTGAGTATATAGAGGATATTACATGGGTGCGCGGAGATACGAATTTTATCTTCTCGTGTTCAATTGATATCTCACAAGTAAACGCAGCGCACGAGTGAGATATCTAAATTGAACACGAGAAGATAAAATTCGTATCTCCAAGCGACCATGTAATATTCTGTTTATTATATAGATATCGATGAAACTCAAATAAAACAAAAGCTCAAAAATTCTTTATTAAAATAGCAAGCCGATTCAACAGCGATATCTTCACGTGTGAAAGATATGGTATCTTCCACTGGTGAAAGATATCAAGTTTTCGACACTAGAGAAAACCTGGTATTTCATCGATATCTATATAATAAATAGTTGTTGATCATTTTCTTTAATGGTGGGATAACAATTCTGTTTGAATATTCTGGTTCTGATTTGGCTCATTGTCACGCATACACACACAATAGGCCCTTTGCAGTTAACGTTCACGTGTCTGTACTGGAGGGCAAAATTTATGTTTTTATATTAAATTGGTGATTCTTTTTAGCTACTTGTAAAGRACCGAATGAAAAGATGTGTATCCAGTGTGTTACGAAATGCATTTTTATTACGATCTCTCAAAACAGGTTGTAGAAAGTTTGTTTGCTTTTCAGTAAATTTCACCCATGGGAATCAAAATTTTCACTCATTTGCTATCAGTGAATTATTCAGCACGTGATTGCTTAGCTGCAAARGGCCTATTCCAGTACATGCAATATTCTATGCGTTTAACTCCATGTCTGTGTCRTTTGACTTCCTCGGGGATAATAGGTTGCTATCAATAGACGTCACTTCCTGTAATAGCTGTGTTTTAATGGCTTGTAGAATCTTGGAGGTTGTTTTGATCTCTTGTTTTCAAGTTTCATGTCGTAGAAACAGACAAATGCAATAGTTTGAGGATTTATTTTGACATGTTTTGACTTAACATCCGCTAGTTGCCCCTCATTCAACCGCTTGTTTGCCCCCCAGTCAACTCTAAAAATTCACGTGATTGATAGTATAAGCAATTGCTGAACTTGAATAAGCCGGTTAAAATTTTGAATCTCAACATCTGCTCTAAATAGTGGTGACCCAGTGACCATTGAAAACTGTGATTCAGCTGATAAACAGTCCGCACGAGACCGGATATGGCGTCACGTAAACCCAGCAAATGTTAACTCGTATTGTGATTCTGTTTTCCAGTTCTGTGTGCTTCTATCGAATGTCCATACCCAGGGGAATACTGTGACTTGAATCAAGGAAACAATCCCCAATGTCATTGTTTGAAATCGTGTCCTGACGAGAGGGAAAGTACCCGTGTTTGTGGTAGCGATGGCGTTACATACTCCAGCGCATGCGCACTCAACAGAACCTCTTGTTTGCTTGGGCAACATATCAGGGTTGAGCTCAACAGGCCTTGTGATATGAGTGAGTAAATGGTATTTGRATATTTTATGTTCTTTACTTGTTCTTCTATTATTTCTTCTTCTCTTCTCAACTACCAGCGATCTCGTACCCAGAGCCTTTATTTCTTACTGCGCATGCTCGACGAATTTTCTTAGCCAAAAAAATCTTAGCCTATCAGAATCGAAAATATTTGCAAAACGTTTTCGAAGGAGGGCCTCGTATGGACCAATAGGAACCGTACCGTCTGTATCGGCCAGTGCATCACATTATTGGGATGCTGCAGTGATGAAAATTAAAATGACTTTATAGTGTATTGGGACAACTGTGGTTTATAAGAACTCTAGCCCGATCCATGCAATAACATAAACCAAACTATCCTATCATGATTAGGAGTGCCAAGCTATTCCAAACTACATTTTGTTTACCAAATTAGTCTCGTAGTTGACCCGAGCATTTAGTGTTTTGAAATCGTTGACCGGCAGTCACCGAATTAGATGGCTTTTTTAAATTAACTAAAATAACTAAGGCCTAGGGCAAACGTCGAACTTTCCGTGCACTGAACTCATTAAAAACAATGGATATCAGGTGATAATGAGGTGGCATTCTTTAAGTTCGGTGCATGGAAAGTTCGACGTTTGCCCTAGGCCTAAAATAAAATGTGTTTTTTCTAAGAAGATGTTAATAAATTTATGATGATACTTTTTTTTAAAAAAAAAAACACAATATATTATCTGTATACAATGGCATTCAAACCGAACGAAAGAAAATGAAAAGAAAGAAAGAAAGAAAGAAGGAAAGAAAGAAAGAAAGAAAGAAAGAAAGAAAGAAAGAAAGAAAGAAAGAAAGAAAGAAAGAAAGAAAGAAGGAATGAAAAAAGGTTTACCATTT